ACTCCTACACTCATAATTCCTCAATCAACAACCAACATTAGCGATGACACTCCAAATGTGTCTGAAAATAAACTTAAAACGACACGTTCTGGAAGAAGAGTAAGATTTCCAGAACATTTAAACGACTATTTCACGTAAAGCACTACTCGACATTTTATATTATCTCGATCTTTCTTTTTACGATATATAATAACTTTAAAAAAATAATAATTTTAATATGCTCATATATTTTTATTTAAAAAAAACACAAAGAAAAACAAACTTTTTTAACGCCATTACGTGTGCTTGAGTTTATTTTCCTTTTTCTTCGCCGACATTGTGTATTTACGCACATACGAGAGTATTTCGACATGCACTTACATTTTCTTTTTTGTTTTCCAGGACGGCTGGAAAAGAACGATGCAGTTTACGAGGAGCCGAATTTTTCATTGTACTTTTTCCTTTTTTAATATGTTGTACCTCGGTCTCATATAGTAAGGAAAGCCACACACAACCCTTCTTACTGAACCGTTTGAAAGCAGCAGGCGTTAAATTCGTGCAAACTTCGTGGTACCAGCCTTTGCACTCGTCGCACTGCATGCCGCTTTCAACAGGATAACGACGACCCGGACGTTGACAACTGCTTTTTTACACTGTCCAGTCATTTAGGAAAGGTACATTTTCAAATTGCGATGATACTCAGAAACAAAAAAATTTATCAATGACCAAAAAGTGAAGAGCAGTAGATTGCTAAGACCAAAAGCACTAACAGATACAGTTGAAAAAGAGGTACTCAAGAGAACCAACGACAAAACAGTAAAAACGATATTCTAGTCGAATACTTTAACTGAAATAAATTCAATTAAAGTGAAAACAGTAGCCTTCATACGTAGTATGTTTACAGGTGATGTTTCCGAACCTTACGAAATCTTGAAACGTTCGATTCTTAAACGAGGAGACCTAACCGATCGACAAAGGTTAGATCAACTCTTTAATAACATAGACTTGCAGCACGGTTCTGCGACGGACATGTTGGAAAGAATGAGAGAAGCGATAGACCTAAGAACTTTCGACGAAGGTCTATTCAAACAACTTTTCTTCTCTAAACTTCCTCAACAGATGCAAGCGGTTCTGGTCTCGTTTCAGAACAACGCCTTAGACAAGCTGGCTGCATCTACCGATCGAATCTTAGAAATTACGAAATCTACTACCGAGGTATTTTCAATCAAAGAAAAGCCTCACACGACTCAGAATGACATAACCGAGTTATGTCATACACTCACGCGTTATCTTAATCTTCGTAACGACCGTAATCGCTCACACAACCCACGTAGAAGCAGTTCACGTAGGCGATCTGTCTCTAGACCACGAGAGACGGATAACCCCGACTGGTGCTGGTATCATAACCAGTATGGAAAGTCTTCCAGAAATTGCATAAAACCCTGCAATTTTCTCAACACGAAACCGACTGACTCGAAAAACAACTCGGGAAACTTCCAAGCCGGCACGCGTTAACGGCAACCGTAGCCGGCGACAATAGCCGTCTGTTATACGTCACAGATGTGACAATGAGAGTTCGCTACCTCGTCGACACTGGCGCAGATGTTAGTGTTCTCCCATCAAATCCTAACGACCGGCTTCACGAGTCGACTTTAAACTTACAGGCGGCAAACGGAAAACCGGTCGCTACGTATGGCAAAAGGTACGTTTACCTGAACGTGGGTTTACACAAACCCATTCACTGGATTTTCGTTGTTGCATGTTTCTATGCCAATCATTGGTATGGACCTTCTACAACACCATAATCTGGTCATCGACACGCGCAAACGGAGGCTAGTAGGCGGAAACACTAATTTATCCGTTTGCGTAACTTTTACTGGTTGCAGATTATCCCCAGTCACAGTTAAGCATATGATAGACCCACTCTATCAACCACTACTCGATAAGTACCCTGGGATACAACAAACTCAACCGAAACTACCGTGTGTAACCAGCAACGTTACACATCACGACTACAAGACCACCCGTATTCTCTAAAGCACGCCGACTAGCTCCCGAAAAGCTAATGTTGTTGAAAAACGAGTTCGACCACATGATAGACTTAGGAATCATACGACCATCAAACAGCCCATATGCATCGCCGTTGCACATGGTCCCCCAAAAGGACAGCAACGATTGGCGTCCAATTGGTGACTATCGGCGATTGAATGCGAGAACCATTCCCAGTCGTTACCCGTTGCCTCACATTCACAATTTGACAGCTACCTTGAAAGGTACAACTGTCTTTTCCAAAATAGACTTGGTTAAAGCGTATAACCAAATCCCTATGGCTACTGACGACATACCGAAAATAGCTATCATTACTCCCTTCGGACTCTATGAATTTTTGCGAATGCCTTTCAGTCTAAAGAACGCTGCTCAAACATTCTAAAGATTCATAGACGACGTTTATCGAGGTCCCAACTTCGTACATGCGTATGTTGATGACTGCCTAATCGCAAGTTCGGACAGAGAATCACATCTCAAGCATCTGGATCTTGTTTTCGAGCGATTACAAAACCATGGCATTACTGTAAACGTTCAGAAATGCCAATTCGGAACCGACTCGTTAGACTTCCTAGGACACACTATCGATGCTCGAGGCATTCGACCTCTTAGGACCAAAGTGGCGGTTATTCTGGATTACCCAGAACCGACCACGATCAAGCAACTACGACCGTTTAACCATCACTACAGACCGCGGACGTCAGTTTGAGTCTGAACTTTTCCGTCGTCTGACCACACTATTAGGAAGCACTCGCTTCCGAATGACCGCCTACGTTTGCGGCTGATAGTGAAGCTTTTAGTTGTCGGTGAAAACGTTCTACCAACCCGTTTGCTTGTGGATGGTAGGCGGTCATTCGGAAGCGAGTGCTTCCTAATAGTGTGGTCAGACGACGGAAAAGTTCAGACTCAAACTGACGTCCGCGGTCTATAGTGATGGTTGAAGGACAACCGACGTTTGTTACCCATCGTTCTACGAAGGTGCGTGCCACTGTTCCAGCAGTGATGTCCTTGATAGGTACTGCTTCTGGCCATCGAGTGAAACGATCTGCACAAGTTAAGAGTATCCATTTGAATCTGGTAAACGTCCTACGAAATCCAGATGAACATGGTCGAAACGAGCATCGGGAGTTTTAAATGAGCCTAAAGGACATTTATTGTGTCTGATGACCTTAGATTTTTGGCAGCTTACACAGGAGCGTGCCCACTCCTTCACGTCTTTATTCATACCAGGCCAACAAAACCGTCCTGCTATAAGCTTGATGGTTGCACGAACACCTGGATGAGAAAGTTTGTGCAATGTGTTGAAGACATTGCGTCGATAATGTTTCGGGACGATTGGGCGATCCCTACCTGTAGATGTGTCACAAAGTAAGGTTTCCTTACCTGTTCCCATCTGTTTGATGCGTAGTTTAAGGGTTGTAGACGATAACTCGTTCTGAAGATCAGTGTCTTCTTTTTGAAGCTCGGTGAGTTTCAGAAGGTCGATTCCTTGGAAACTGTTCAAGGAAGTTATGCGAGATAAGGCGTCTGCAACTACATTGTTTGCCCCAGAAATGTGTTGAATGTCTGAAGTAAACTGCGAAATGTAGTCAGTTGTCGAGACTCACGGGGAGAGTACTTGTCAGAAGGGGAGCTTAACGAGAAAGTGAGCGGTTTATGGTCCGTGAAAAGAATGAATTCACGGCCTTCGATGTAGTGTTGGAAATGCCGTACAGCACAATACATAGCTAGGAGTTCCTTAATGAATGTGCTGTACCTTGATTCGGTGTCTAGCAACCTTCTAGAGAAGAATGCCAAGGGTTGCCAGGAGTTGTTAACCCATTGTTGTAAGACTCCTCCAATTGCCGAGTCGGATGCGTCTACTGCGATACTAATGGGTGCTTCGGTGTCCTGATGTGCGAGCATTGTTGCTTTAGCGATCAGTTCCTTAACTGTGGAGAATGCTTTTCGTGCGGTGTCGTCCAAATTAGTGGATTTCGCATTTCTACGAAGTTGGGCGGTAAGAGGTTTCATAAGTAATGCGCATTTCGGTATGAAGCGTCTATAGAAACTTACCAGGCCGTTAAACGTGCGTAATTGCTTGATGTTGGTCGGTTCTGGGTAATCCAGAATAACCGCCACTTTGGTCCTAAGAGGTCGAATGCCTCGAGCATCGATAGTGTGTCCTAGGAAGTCTAACGAGTCGGTTCCGAATTGGCATTTCTGAACGTTTACAGTAATGCCATGGTTTTGTAATCGCTCGAAAACAAGATCCAGATGCTTGAGATGTGATTCTCTGTCCGAACTTGCGATTAGGCAGTCATCAACATACGCATGCACGAAGTTGGGACCTCGATAAACGTCGTCTATGAATCTTTAGAATGTTTGAGCAGCGTTCTTTAGACTGAAAGGCATTCGCAAAAATTCATAGAGTCCGAAGGGAGTAATGATAGCTGTTTTCGGTATGTCGTCAGTAGCCATAGGGATTTGGTTATACGCTTTAACCAAGTCTATTTTGGAAAAGACAGTTGTACCTTTCAAGGTAGCTGTCAAATTGTGAATGTGAGGCAACGGGTAACGACTGGGAATGGTTCTCGCATTCAATCGCCGATAGTCACCAATTGGACGCCAATCGTTGCCGTCCTTTTGGGGGACCATGTGCAACGGCGATGCATATGGGCTGTTTGATGGTCGTATGATTCCTAAGTCTATCATGTGGTCGAACTCGTTTTTCAACAACATTAGCTTTTCGGGAGCTAGTCGGCGTGCTTTAGAGAATACGGGTGGTCTTGTAGTCGTGATGTGTAACGTTGCTGGTTACACACGGTAGTTTTGGTTGAGTTTGTTGTATCCCAGGGTACTTATCGAGTAGTGGTTGATAGAGTGGGTCTATCATATGCTTAACTGTGACTGGGGATAATCTGCAACCAGTAAAAGTTACGCAAACGGATAAATTAGTGTTTCCGCCTACTAGCCTCCGTTTGCGCGTGTCGATGACCAGATTATGGTGTTGTAGAAGGTCCATACCAATGATTGGCATAGAAACATGCAACAACGAAAATCCAGTGAATGGGTTTGTGTAAACCCACGTTCAGGTAAACGTACCTTTTGCCATACGTAGCGACCGGTTTTCCGTTTGCCGCCTGTAAGTTTAAAGTCGACTCGTGAAGCCGGTCGTTAGGATTTGATGGGAGAACACTAACATCTGCGCCAGTGTCGACGAGGTAGCGAACTCTCATTGTCACATCTGTGACGTATAACAGACGGCTATTGTCGCCGGCTACGGTTGCCGTTAACGCGTGCCGGCTTGGAAGTTTCCCGAGTTGTTTTTCGAGTCAGTCGGTTTCGTGTTGGGAAAATTGCAGGGTTTTATGCAATTTCTGGAAGACTTTCCATACTGGTTATGATACCAGCACCAGTCGGGGTTATCCGTCTCTCGTGGTCTAGAGACAGATCGCCTACGTGAACTGCTTCTACGTGGGTTGTGTGAGCGATTACGGTCGTTACGAAGATTAAGATAACGCGTGAGTGTATGACATAACTCGGTTATGTCATTCTGAGTCGTGTGAGGCTTTTCTTTGATTGAAAATACCTCGGTAGTAGATTTCGTAATTTCTAAGATTCGATCGGTAGATGCAGCCAGCTTGTCTAAGGCGTTGTTCTGAAACGAGACCAGAACCGCTTGCATCTGTTGAGGAAGTTTAGAGAAGAAAAGTTGTTTGAATAGACCTTCGTCGAAAGTTCTTAGGTCTATCACTTCTCTCATTCTTTGCAACATGTCCGTCGCAGAACCGTGCTGCAAGTCTATGTTATTAAAGAGTTGATCTAACCTTTGTCGATCGGTTAGGTCTCCTCGTTTAAGAATCGAACGTTTCAAGATTTCGTAAGGTTCGGAAACATCACCTGTAAACATACTGCGTATGAAGGCTACTGTTTTCACTTTAATTGAATTTATTTCAGTTAAAGTATTCGACTAGAATATCGTTTTTACTGTTTTGTCGTTGGTTCTCTTGAGTACCTCTTTTTCAACTGTATCTGTTAGTGCTTTTGGTCTTAGCAATCTACTGCTCTTCACTTTTTGGTCATTGATAAATTTTTTGTTTCTGAGTATCATCGCAATTTGAAAATGTACCTTTCCTAAATGACTGGACAGTGTAAAAAAGCAGTTGTCAACGTCCGGGTCGTCGTTATCCTGTTGAAAGCGGCATGCAGTGCGACGAGTGCAAAGGCTGGTACCACGAAGTTTGCACGAATTTAACGCCTGCTGCTTTCAAACGGTTCAGTAAGAAGGGTTGTGTGTGGCTTTGTCATCAATGCTGCTCGGATGCAATTAGCTTGCTAACCGAGGCCATCTCACTGGTTGATGCTGCAAAGAAGTGTTTTAGCAAGCATAGTCGGAACGCGTCAAACAGCACTCGATCTGTCGACACGCAAATCGACGTGAAGGAAACTAAGGTTAGTCCGGTGATAGATGACTGACGCCCGTCAAAGAAGGAAAAGCAGTCTCCAAAGACGCCTGCCTTAAACAAAAGCTCAAGAAAAGTAGGGTCTTCTGTTCCCCGTCTCCCAGATGGGATCCAACAGGAAACACCTAGAAGCCGCAAATCGCAAGGCTCGATCGGTTTCAAACTGTAAACATAACACGACCTCTCAGGTCGTCGACAACCCACAAAACCCAACACTAGGTTTGACGCAACTGTTATTGCTTCTACCAGCACCGTTGACGAATGGGTAAAGGTTGTAAGGAAGAAAAGTAGGGATATAAAAAAGAAACCTGCCCCCGTAAAAGTGGTTGAAAAATCGAAAGCTGATCATAGCGACAGATCAGCTATTTTTCATAGAATCAAGGAGAGCGAGAGCTCTGAACCTAAAGGTCGTTTTGAGCATGACATTGTACTGATTAGGCAGCTGCTTAATCAACTCATGCCTCAAAATATGACCGGGGTCACCTTGCTAGAGGTATACAGACTAGGGAGTCTAACGGACTCGAAGCCAAATCATTCCAAACTGCTTAAAGTAGTATTCGGCTCCACGAACAAACGTGACCTAATTTTACAAGATGGACATAAATTTAAAGGTTCAGGAGTCTTTATCCGAAAGGACCTACCGTTGGCAGACCGTGTTAAAACACGGGAAGCCGAGAAAGAACTACAACATAGGTTAGACGCTGGCGAAAAGGACCTGAAAATTGTAAATTTTCGGGTTGTAAGACTTCGACAGAGAATGATGCCGAAGCCACTCTGGGTGAAGCACGAAGGCACTTAAACAGGCTCCGGATCTGTTACACCAATGCACGAAGCTTACTTAATAAGCGATCGGAACTAGGTGTACAGATTGACTCTACAAAGCCAGACATAATCGCAGTAACAGAAACCTGGCTGAGACAGGCTACAGATAGTATAGAACTTGATTTCGAGGGCTTTACGGCAGTAAGGGCCGACAGAACACAAAAGCGCAAAGGAGGGGGAGTAGCTCTATTCATTAGGAATGCTATCTCATTTACCATTATCGATAGTGTATCCCATGAGAGTGGGACGAGTGAATTAGTTAGTCTTCACTTAAAATGCAAGGGACAAGAGCTGCTGATTGGTTTGGTCTATCGCAGTCCAAGTTGTGAGGCAAATGAGATCCTGTTAAGCAGTCTCAATACTTGGTCCCAAAGTGGTCGATGTCTAATCCTAGGGGACTTTAACGCACCTATGGTAGACTGGGAAAATCTGCGAACTAAATCGTCGGAGAATTCTTTCGAGCGGGAACTAGTTGATGGGGTTATCACATGTGCTCTAGTGCAACATGTGAAAGAAGCAACAAGGTACGATCCGGACACTGAATCATCCTTATTAGATCTTATACTGACTCACTATGAGGATGATGTTGCGAACCTCCATCATATGCCACCCCTATGTAAAAGTGACCACGCAGTTCTAACTTTCGACTTCCATATAACTGCCAGTCACGAGGACGCATCAGTCCAGTCCAGATCCAACGTCTGTAAAGCAAACATACCAGACATCATGCACTCAGCATCGTTAACAGATTGGACAATAGACCCAGAGTCCTCCATTGAAACGGCCTGGGACGCATTTCAAAATTCATACTTAAAAGTTACCACACCTCACATCCCTTGGACTATACCAAAGGGGCCGAAAAACTCACCAACATGGTTCAGTAGGGAGGTCCGTATCCTTCTCCGTAAGAAAAGGAAAATGTGGGATAGATTTAGGTTACTGGGGACTGCTGAGTCAAAATCTCAGTATCGAAAGGCTCGGAACACTTGTGCCTCGACCCTCCGTAAGTTTAGAAAATTGTTCTAAACGCTTGTACTCCTATATAAACCAAAGTTCAAGGAGAAAAGGAAATATTCCTGCTCTATGGGGAGACAGTACTGCTTCATCATTAGTGGAGGACGACTTTGGTAAGGCTCAAGCGTTCTCGAACTACTTTAGCAACGTATATACCATAGAAGCGCCCTTCCCGTCAGCGTATACAAATCCCCCCATAAATACACTGGATAGTGTGACCATTAAAGAACTCGATGTCTTTGGTCTGCTAAATAAGCTTGACATAGGTAAATCCACGGGGCCCGATGAATTACATCCTAGGCTACTGAAGGAATTATCTAACTTCGTTGCAAGCCCTTTAAGTACATGTTTTAACTTATCCGTCAGGCAGGGTCGTTCACCGAAAGACTGGAAAAGCGCCATAGCAAGTCCTGTCTTCAAAACAGGTACGAAACACAAACCTGAGAACTACCGCCCCGTTAGCCTAACTAGTGTGGTTGTTAAAATATTAGAAAAGATTATTCGGAAGGAGCTGTTTAAGTATCTCGATAAAAACCGGATCCTCTCGGAGAAGCAGTACGGCTTCAAAATAACTTATTCTTGTCTTACTAACTTATTAATGGCTCGTGAAAGCTGATGCGCTCTTAAGGACAAAACGCTACTTGTAGACGTCGCCTTTATTGATTTCAGTAAAGCTTTTGACAAAGTTCCGCACAACCAGCTGTTATTTAAGTTAAAAAAAGTCGGGATTGGGGGCAATTTATTGGAAGAACATTGGAAGAACTGAGAGAAGAGTGCATGTCCGCATTTCTGAGCATGTTCCAAAAAACTTGAGGCTGCGAGGGAATAAGGCCTTCAACAGCGCAATTGCTCGACATCTACTTGACACCGGGCACACCATCGAGATTCCACATGCTTTCAAAATTATCAATAGACAAAGAAGTACGACCACCCTCCGTTTTGCTGAAGCCATCATGATAAAAAAAACTCAAACCTGACTTATGCATCCAAAAAGAGACTTTAATTAACTTATCACTACCCTGGTAACCCCTTTTTATTTTATTTATTTATTTATTTCAAAATATTTATACTCCTCCCCTATTACATAATTCTTAAACCACATTATCATTCACACATTTCCGCCACCTGATCCTCTCAAATTATCTTAACTTTTCAAATTCTATTTTATTATTATTACGTAACCTATCTTATAATTATTCAATTCCATTATTACACCACCCAACCCGAATTAATTCCTTTTGACCTCTGACCTGTTCTAGCATATATATATATATATATATATATATATATATATATATATTTACAATTATTATTGTAACCCAGTTATTTACACTCATCTATGTCAATTGTTTTCACTATATCTCAATGTAAAAATTCTATCACAATTTTGGTTTGTAAGCAGCTGACGAGAAACCTCGAAATAATATGAATTCATACTATTCTGCACCATTATTTGTTCTTGCTTTATTTAAATTCACAAAGGGAACCAATTGCATGAAATTTCTAAAAAGCCGTCTCCCTGCTCACATTTTCAAGTCACTTAACCGGTTGATGGCAGTTCGACAAGATTAAAGTTTCTGTTACGTTGCTTGAATGATGGCTGCTTTCCTCGTCATATTATTAAAGCTGTCCGTGCTTGTAAAATACCTCCTTCCTTAAAAAATCTTCGGCGCGTCACAAAATCTCAAATTGAATGTACCAAGGAACTTATCTCCAAACTTAAAACAGAATCACTCGGTTATGACAAAATTATTATGGATTTAAACATTGTATGTAGAATCAAACTCATGAATTTCATTCACGATGTTCAGTTCAAAACCAATCATAAATTCCTAAAGACATTAACCAAAACACTTGTGAAAGAACAAAAACATTACGTCTTTTCTACGAACCCAGAAAAATACGTACACAATTTATCCAGTAAAAAACTAACTCGAATTGAAACTGAAGCACTCTCCCTTGGATTTAAATTTCACATTCCGAAAAAATGCAACAGAATAGACACTGAAACCCAGTTTGAGTATTTATATCAACAGTTGTCAGAACTGAAACCCATGAACGATGAAAAACATAGTTAGTTGAGATCGAAACTAGTTGACATTACAAACCAGTACATAACGACACCAACCCCACAATCAAAAGTGTTGACTAAAGATCACCAACTAGCTTTGAAAAAACTTGTGAAAGATGAAACAATAATGCTACTTCGTCCAGATAAAGGTTCCGGTGTAGTCGTTATTAACAGAGATGAATACATTAGCAAAATAATGTCTACTTTAAATGATTCCACTAGATTTATCATCGATAATACCCAGAAAGATCTAACAGAGAGGACAGAGAAGCGACTTGTAAATAAATTGAGAGATCTCCTAAAGAAAAATCTAATTGATAATCATACATACAATGAACTTAAACCTAAAGGATCACAATTACCGTACTTGTACGGCCTACCCAAAACTCACAAGCCCAATATCCCGATTAGACCAATATTATCCATGGCTAATTCACTTTTCCATAAACTCGCCCGCTGGCTGACAAAGTGCCTTGAACCAATCCGAAAAAAACTAACACCTTACAGTCTAAAAGATAGTTTTGAATTTGCACAAAAACTCGACAACCTGAATGTTTCCGACAAATTTATGGTTTCATTTGACGGCTCATCGCTCCTCACAAACATCCCCTTGGAAGAAACGATAGAGATCATATGTGGTTATCCTGAACTTCTACCCCTACCAATTCATGATTTTAAACAGCTCCTCTTTTTTTGTACAAAAAATATACAATTTCAATTCAATAATGTCCTTTACCGCCAAATCGATGGAGTTGCCATGGGTAGCCCATTGGGCCCAATTCTTGCCGATATATTTATGGGACACCTAGAACAAAAAATGCTTAAGCACGCAATCGATGGTACTACGCTGTATTGCAGATATATTGATGACACATTCCTCCTCTGCAACAATCACGAACACGCCAT